AGATTTTTAAAGATTGCATTAATTTTGATGGTTTTAGCCCCACCCCTCAGGCCCCAGGGGGGCAGGGACCATGAAATTCACAAATTTTGTTCCCCTTCACACATAGATGCCATATGCAAAAATTGGCTGAAATTGGTTCAGCGGTTACAGAGAAGAAGCTGAAAATGTTCAAATGTTAACACACGACGCACGACGGACGACGGACGACGACGGACGAAAACAGATAGCAATAGGTCACCTGAGTGACTCAGGTGACCTAAAAATCAGAGCATGACTCGAACACTTTCCTCAATAAACGTCCCTTTAAAGAGCTCCTCGCTAACTACTGTACCACGGAGTCACACATACATACCCATTTAAATAGCATACAGTTCTCTATATTTAGCAAGCGTATTTGGACTTAGAATTTTTTAAGACCACGGTGAAAATTTAAGTAAGTTAACTTAATTTTTTATGTAGAGTGGGTCTTCGTACCAAATATTTGCAAGTGTAAAAAGCAACATCTTTCCATTGCCTTTCATTAATCGTTCTCAAAAAAATGGTACGATGACCCACTCTATTTTAAAAATGTAGTTATATCATCCAATTTATGTCAGTTTTTGTGAAAATTGAGCGTGATGCCATTTTTTGTGTTAATCAGAATCATTTTCGCTGTTACAGTATTCAGGTTTTGTCAAATTTGTATGCAAATGGTAATAAGCATTACATTAATTCAACAAAAAGTGAAATTTTTGTAAAATGAATTTATTGATTTTTTATCGATCGTTATGTAGGCATATGGCTCGGCTTATCCCCCCAGTTTCTTTCCAGAATTCCACGATCGCCAAGTCAATTTAAATGGTCGCCAATTTGGCGACTTATGGAAAATTTTTAGGTGCCAATCAAAACTTTTAGGCACCATGGCGACTAAATTAGTCGCCAATTAGAGCCCTGCAATGACAGTTAAATGCTCTTTTTCTTATTTCATTCACCTCCATCTTTAAGCAACCTGTGTAAAACTATTATAAATACATTGCTACAAATTTTTTTTCATTGATTTCACTACAGTTTTGGTATTCTCTTTAGAGAAGTGGACAGGCTTTCGCCTACATCTGCATTGATGTAGGCAAAAGCCTGTCCACTTCTCTAAAGAGAATACAGTTTTGGAACAAAATACAACCATACAACAGCAACCTTACCATTTGGTACTGTTTGACACGATTGAAAACGTTTCTGACATATTAAATTTCATATTTTACTTAAGAAATCAAAAGCCCAGCAGTTTGCTGGTATATCAGTACTGGAAAAACATATCGCAATACGATATTTTTTGCTAATGAATCGCAATATACCGGAATATCGATATTCTTGCACAGCCCTAGTAATAAGAATAACACTGTTTTAAAATCAAATGAATATACTGTGGAATCATTAGATTTTGAGGTGGCCCAGTTTTCGTGCAATTTATTGGTACCCCTCATCCTCAAATTAACATCCTCCTTGAATTAATAAAATAACTAGGGTTTTAGAATCATCTCTCCTTTTGTAGATATGAGTGAGTACATGATATAACATCCCCACAAACCTGCAAAATTTAAGAAATCCATGAAAATTGGCCCACAAGAATTTTAAGGATTTCCACAGTATACTGTAAACCAACTATTATTCACGTCAACTTTTATTCGCGATTTGTCGGTTTGAAATCAATCTGCGACGATTAATTTTCGTGATTGAAGAAACATTAAAAATACAAGAGGCCCAAGGGCCTTAACGGTCACCTGAGTATAATACAATAATTTAGAAGTTAAATACACTGATAGTTGAAGCTTTGTTGCCCTAAAGCAAGAGAAGTAGGAAGATCAGGATCAACAAAATAATTAGTCTAGTATTCAGTAACAACTCATAAATTAAGTTCTAATCTGTCCCCCACTTAACACTATGCAGACTATTAACAAACTATTAGTGCTTCTGTACTATTTTAAACCCATATTAAGACCTCTAGCATTGACCTCTCTTATGGTCTTTGAAGAACTTTTAATAAGATAAGTTGTTTTTGTCTTATTTTTATTTATCTATTACTTACAGGTCTACCTGTTTATTAAAACTAAGAAAGTACTTTTTTAATTATACGATAAACATTCTTGCATAATTATCTTATTCTATTAACCTTTCAAATACATTATTTACAGTGATTAATTATCAAAGATGAATGGAAAAGGGGAATAACTTCTCTCAGTAGAATACAAATTAATAGAGCCCTGCCCAGGACTAGAATGCTTAGACCAATGGTGCAGATGTTTAAAAATCTGGTAGAAATACGCTTACTCATATCATTTAAACTTTTACTCAGTTTGCTTCCAATATGCCCAGAAGCAGAGAAGAATTTCACAGGTACAATGCATTTTCACTACAGATTCAACAAAGCCTTACCCTAACACCAGAACCCAAGACCAAGGGTCAAGAAATTTACAAATTTGGAAAAGTTACCCTCATCATCATAACTATGGACTTCAAAGAATTAACACTTTTCCACTAAATTATCAAAAGCCCCTCCCCCCCCCCCCCCCCTCGTTATGCCAGAAACTGACCCTAGGACCACAAGATTTAAAAATTCTGTTTGAAGCTCCCATTTTCATCATAGCTAAGCAATTTATTTATCAGCTCAACACTAAGGAGCAGACAGGATTAATTAATGATTAATAGAATTAATGCTTTTTCACTATATAATCAATAGAGCCCCCCCCCCCCCTCCTCAAGAACCCCCAAAACTGAGGCCATATATTTAAAAATTTTGGAAGAGGCATCCTTGTCTATCATAATCATGCACTTAGTTTGTTTATATAATCTCCAGAAGAAGAGAAGAAGATTTTCAAAGAATCAATGCATTTTCACTATATAATCAATAGAGCCCCGCCCTAACACCAGAACCCCTGACCCTGGGGCCATGAAATTCACAATTTTTGAAAAGGCATCCTTATGCATCATAACCATGCACTTAGTTTGTTTAAATAATCTCCAGTTGCAGAGAAGAAGATTCTCAAAGAATCAATACATTTTCACTATATAATTAATAGAGCCCCGCCCTAACACCAGAACCCCTGACCCTGGGGCCAAGAAATTCACAATTTTTGAAAAGGCATCCTTATGCATCATAACCATGTACTTAGTTTGTTTAAATAATACCCAGGAGCAGAGAAGAAGATTTTCAAAGAATTAAAGCATTTTCACTATATAATCAATAGAGCCCTGCCCTAACACCAGAACCCCTGTCCCAGGGGCCATGGCTTTCACAATTCTGGAAGAGGCCCACCTCCTCATCTTAACTATGTACTTAGTTTATCACCTTAATGCCCAGGAGCAGAGGAGAAGATTTTCAAAGAATTAATGCATTTTCACCATATAGTCGATAGAGCCCCGCCCTAACACCAGAACCCCTGACCCTGGGGCCATGAAATTCACAATTTTGGAAGAGGTACTCTTGCTCATCATAACTATGTACTTAGTTACTTTATTTAATATCCAGAAGCAGAGAAGAAGATTTTCAAAGAATTAATGCATTTTCACTATATAATCTATAGAGCCCCGCCCTAACACCAGAACCCCTGACCCTGGGGGGCCATGAATTTCACAATTTTTGAAAAGGCACTTTTGCTCATCATAACTATGTACTTAGTTACTTTATTTAATACCCAGGAGCAAAGAAGAAGATTTTCAAAGAATTAATGCTTTTTCACTATATAATCTATAGAGCCCCGCCCTAACACCAGAACCCCTGCCCCTGGGGCCATGAATTTCACAATTTTGGAAGAGGCACTCTTGCTCATCATAACTATGTACTTAGTTCCTTTATTTAATACCCAGGAGCAGAGAAGAAGATTTTCAAAGAATTAATGCATTTTCACTATATAATCTATAGAGCCCTGCCCTAACACCAGAACTCCTGACCCTGGGGCCATGAAATTCACAATTTTTGAAAAGGCACATTTGCTCATCATAACTATGTACTTAGTTACTTTATTTAATACCCAGGAGCAGAGAAGAAGATTTTCAAAGAATTAATGCTTTTTCACTACATAATCTATAGAGCCCCGCCCTAACACCAGAACCCCTGCCCCTGGGGCCATGAATTTCACAATTTTGGAAAAGGCACTCTTGCTCATCATAACTATGTACTTAGTTCCTTTATTTAATACCCAGGAGCAGAGAAGAAGATTTTCAAAGAATTAATGCATTTTCACTATATAATCTATAGAGCCCTGCCCTAACACCAGAACCCCTGACCCTGGGGCCATGAATTTCACAATTTTGGAAGAGGCACTCTTGCTCATCATAACTATGTACTTAGTAACTTTATTTAATACCCAGGAGCAGAGAAGAAGATTTTCAAAGAAATAATGCACTTTCACTATATGATCTATATAGCCCCGCCCTAACACCAGAACCCCTGACCCTGGGGCCATGAATTTCACAATTTTGGTAGAGGGCTCCATGCTTATTACAATGATGCCAACAGTTTGACTGCTTGATGTCCAGGAGTAAAGAAGAAGATTTTTAAAGATTGCATTAATTTTGGTGGTTTTAGCCCCACCCCTCAGGCCCCAGGGGGGCAGGGATCATGAAATTCACAATTTATGTTCCCCTTCACCCATAGATGCTATATACCAAATTTAGTTGAAATTGGTTGAGCGGTTTTAGAGAAGAAGTTAAAAATGTTCAAAAGTTAACGCACGACGGACGACGCACGTCGCACGACGACGGACGAAAACAGATAGCAATAGGTCACCTGAGTGACTCAGGTGACCTAACAAAGCAAAATAAATGGTTCGCAGCGATAAATATTCGCGAGTTAAAGTAGTAGAAACCCATGAATATTTCTCGCACGCGAATAAAAGTTGGTTTACAGTATGCAAATGTATCTAATGGATCAGCTAATGAGGAACACTAGTCTGATGGCAATGGCTGTGTAAATGTAAATTATGTTAAAGCAATTTTAACAATTGAATAGAGAAATACAAGCTTACCTTTTCAATTTCTTTCCTGACAATGTAATCAACAATAGGAATGAGTGCAACACCCACAATTACGAACAGGACACCAAATCCACAGCCACAATACTGTAGTTTCTTCTTTATACTCCAAGCCATCTCTCTGCTGCCCTGAGAAAACAGATTAACAAATTATTATATGACTAAATTCTTCACAAAACAACCCTCCATGAACACTAGACCTTTAAACTACATCAATTTAAACTGTCGGCCAAACTTCAGAGCATTACAAAAACTTTCTCTATAAATAATATTATAATATAAATATTCTCTGGTCAAATTTCATTTTTGAAAAAGTTGTCAAATTCAAAGAATTTTTGGGAAACAGTGTGACATGGGGTACATAAAAATTTATTATAAATTTGTATGATGGTGGGCCTTGATTTTTGCTCACGGTAACTTAGATTGCAGAAACATGATCAAGGAAAGATAACTCTATTCCACATACTTAGTAAGCTTGGTGGTTGTTAACATGCATTCATGCATGTTCTGTTCTGTGTTTTCTAAAGAGATATTCATGTATTTTACTTCCTGTGTACCAAGTATTATAAATCTGATTTTGGAAAACAATCAATTATTATATACTTAAATTGCAGAATAATAATTTATAATCAGTCTGGTTTTTTTTACTCAATTTGCTACTTAAGATTGAGTGAAATGAAAAATAAACTGACGGTCTGAGGGATTAAAGCAAGGTACTTCAATTGTTGAAGTTTATGCATGACGTAACTTTAATACACTACACACATGATAAGAAATCTTTCGTGTAAATATTCCCATGCGAACCAGTATCTTAACAATACATATTAATTACATTGGTATCACATAAATACCGGTAACCATCGTCAGATACCCACAGGTGATCTCGTCTTTTACTCATCACTGGGTGAGTAGGTATACGTAAAAGATGAAATCACCCATGGGTATCTGACAATGAGAAATACATGTAACTCCTGGTGAACATTTTTGGTACTTTTTCATATAATCATAATCAGCATAATTTATATGCACGTTTATTATTTTTAATATCAATTTTCTTAAAATAAATATCTTGTGATCAATGAACAGGTAAACTACGAATTATTATCTTAATATGTTAATTAAAGTAAATCAAAACCTAATTCCCAATAAAAAGTAAAATTAATCATTAAAAATTCAATTTTGAAAAAAAAAATATCTTACCAGTTCTTACTGATAGATAGTTTTAAGTATTTCCAATAACATTAATTCAAAACTGGAGTATATATATGCTTACAACTGATACAGTACAGTATGATTGATCATGTAGCATCTAAATATCCAAAGTAAAGAAATAAAATAAAAAACAGGAAGCTAAGGAACATGAATAAACAGGAAGATGAATGCATTTAAAAAACCAATTTTTAAAATGCATGTATTTAAATTTAAATTTCAAATGAGATTCATAATCAATTTGCAATTTCCTTTAACAATATTATACATTTATTGCATGATCGTGAGGAAATATGAAGATTTATTCGGCCAGGAAAAATCATATTCCCCGAGGGCTTCATCTAATGTATAATACTCATTATAGGCAAAAAAAAATCAATCAATAGTTTCTCAGGCATCACCGCATCAGGTCAAAAAATGCCACATTGATCAATTTTATTGACATTTTGAGAAGGGGAATAACTCAATTTTCTATTTTTCCAAGTTGAAAAAGAAAACTGAGTTATTCCCCTTTTCATAAATGTTAATAGATGGTCGTTTTTATTCGATAAACAATATATTACTTGTTAATACAGTATTTTTATACCCCCCCGCTTGAAAAGTGGAAGGGTTTGTAGTGATCGGGGTGTCCGTCTGTCCGTCAGTACGTCTGTCCATCTAGCTGTACGTCCGTCCATCTGTTATGCTTTGAGGTACCTATCTCTTATCCGCAACTCCTCCTACACCACTGAATGAAATTTAATGAGACTTATACAGAATCTTTGTTACATAGTGCCATTGTGCACCTCCTATTTTACTTTTGGATCTGACACTCATTTTGGGTCTCCCAGGGCAAAACATGGACTTTGCCATTATAATCATATGGGAGGCGGGGGGAATCATTTAGTGAGCTCAGTGCTCACAGTACCTCTAGTTTTAATTAACTTTTAAACAAATGTTTGGAATAACATTATTTTAAGTTCAAATGGATATATATTATAATTATAATGTTAAAAGTAAGAATCAGTATCATTTTGTTGCATGAAGGTACAACACCTGCTTCAAAAAAAAAAAAAAAAAAAAAAAAAAAAAATCTGCCTGCCTCATTGAATTTTGAAATTTTTGGCCTGAGAAACTATTAATTAATTTAATTTGGCCTTATACATTCCATTTTACAGAAATCTTTCTTCTAAAACCAGAAGTCTCTGTTGAGACTGTAGCTCTACTGGTTTGTACTTGTAACAAAGGAAAAGTAGCACTTGGACTTGAAACTTTGCAACAGCAATATATACAGAACAAGCATTCTGAGAGTATTGCATTAGCAATACTAGTCCCTTACTGGCAAGTGTAATCTGGTTCCCGTTAAGAATTGAAAATGCCATAATTCCGTCAAAAATTAATGAAGCGGGACGAAATGCAAACTTGATCTATAACTTATCAAGGTAAAGCCACATACTAAAATTCAGCTCAATATCTACAATCGTTTAGAAGAAAATTGCGGAAAACCCTTAAAAATTGAAAAGGCCGTAATTCCGTCAAAAATCAATGAAGCGGAACAAAATGCAAACTTGATCTGTAACTCATCAAGATACACTTACATACCAAAAATCAGCTCAATATCTGCAAGCGTTTAAGAAAAAAGTGCAGAAAACCAATCGGGACAGACTGACAGACAGACAGAGGGACAGACAGACAGATGGACAGATGGACGGACGGACAGACAGACGGACAGACAGACTCAGAGGAAACCTATAGTCCCCTGCGGTTTCACCAGTAGGGGACTAATAATGATCCTTGATTTCATTTCTTTTTGTAGCAAGACTGCAATCAGACTAAAACTATAGGAGTAGTAGCCTTTTAAAAGAATTTTACAGAAATTTCGATTTTAATTACCATTTAGTTACTGACTGAACAATGATCCCAACGGAAATATGAACCGAACCGAAAATGGATATTTTGCACCATGTATCAAACTGAGAAAAAATGCTGTGGTGAATCAATACTGCAGTGAATCGTTTCACCCTATTCTGCATCAGATTTTTCATCAAAATACTTTTTTTTTTTTGCCTTTTGTGGCCCCATCCTATACACAGGAGCCATGATTTGAACAAAAATGAATCTACACTACCAGAGGATGCTTCCACATCAATACGATTCATCATGGATTTGCTATTAAGGAGTTTTAAAGATTTTTCCCTACATAATCCCTATTGTGGCCCAACCCTACCACCCTGGGACCATGATCTCAATAATTACACTATCTAAAGAAGAGCTTTCAACTACGGGTAATTTTAATCTTTTCTGGTCTATTGTTATAAGGTATGAAATACGAAAATACAATGTTAGTTAATAGCCAAGGGCATATAATGTAAATCAGAAACTAATTCAATTAATTATAAGTGATGTTGTCTGAAAGTAGGAAGAAGGAAGGAAGGTTAAACTTAAATGATAAATACAATGAGATACAATGAGATATAATGATCTACACTTCATTTCTATTTTACTGACTTTTTTTGTACTTTGTCCATTTAATGCAAGTAGTTTTCCATTAACTAATTCAATGCCTTACAGTTTAAATACATTTGTAACATATTATTTCTTGCAATTTCATGTAAATCTTAAATGCGACACAAGATTCTTAATGCTGTGTATGTGATGTAAAGCAATTAAACCAACCAATACATACATGTAATTGTTTTAGTTAACGTTTTAGACATTATTGTGATAACAATTAAATCACTTACTCGAAGTTGTAATGATTTAAGTACCCACTTATATAATATGTCATTATAAATATTATCTTACCTTTAAGATAAACTATACTATAGTGTTCTACTTTTTCTCCTCACATGCTTTAGTAAACACAATAACATTCCTTTTCATATGTATTATATTCTTCAACTGTTTTACATGCCTAAAATTTACAACAACTTGCACAATATAAATTAAAGTTCTGAATAAATATATATTACTTTATCCTACAGAATATCTGTACAGGTGGGACAGGTGTTTGCTGACACAGGTGCTTATTGTCATCTGTGTATCTATGTGATGTGTATTGTGTGTTATCTGCAGCCTACTTATCAACATTGTTAGTAGTTCTCTTGTTTGTATCTTGACTGAGATGATAATCTACAGAGTACACACACACACACACACACACACACACACACTTTATAGTCTGTATCATCTGTGTTACTATTTATAGTAGTAGACAAAACTGGGCAGTGATTTTGTTGTAGATGGGCATTGTATAAATTTATAAAGTTAATAGCACATTTTGTAAAATGCACATTAAGAAACAGTTATTTATAACAGATTAACAAATGTATTTTAATAGCAAAAAAACTGCTACTGTAGATCAAGAGATTATACAAGACATCACAAAATTCTGATGGTGTTTGCAGAGTGGAATGGGGTTTTGAAGTCAAGCAACATCTTCATAAAGTTAATGACATCTCTTCTCTCACTAGATCTCACATCATCAGTAACTTAACCATCCTTGGTTTCTAAACCTTGGTTTCCATCAGGTGATGGAGATTAAGGGGCCCAGTGTAAAAAAACAACAACAAAAAAAAAAAAAACTTTGGGTTTTGATTTAGCTATATAGCTTGAATTAGCTATATATAGCTACAAGCTTGATAAAGCTATTTCAATACAGTTTTTTTTTTTTTTTTTTTTTTTTTTTTTATACAAACTATATACTTGCTATTTATTTATTATGCCCACTGTCATTTTGGCATATACCTTAATTATAATACTGTATATATAATGTTTAGTTATTACTTATATGTACAGTATTCTGATGTGTCATATGTCATATGACACAAAGAAATAAAGAACTTGAACTTCAACCCTAAAACTTATAGAACTTGAGTACAATTAAAATCTTTCAAGGAGGTATAATTTGGTGAGTGATTTTATTACGCATTGTTTTCAGAACAGCTCAAAGTTGAAAACTTTCACTGTGCGACTTTATTTTTATACTGAAAACTTGCACATTGAATAAAAAAGTGTGATAAAATAGCTTAATCAAGCTATTTTGAATAGCTAAATCAAGATTTATTAGATTGTACTGGACCTGCTTAAGATCATGGTGATGCACCTAATCTTTCATCTGAGTTAATGTTAATAAAAAACACACTTACTAATGTGTGTTACTAAGTGACTTAATTAGTATCAAATTTATGAATTGCCATATAACAATTTTAAAACGTAAAGTAACACACAATATCCATCATTAATATCATTAAAAACTTCTAATCTACATTTATTTATATAATGGAAAATATTTTTAGGAATTTTGCTCAACAGATATCGTCGTATACCCTAAATTCGTCCGTACCCTAAAATCGTCCTCAAACTTGACGCAGCCCGCACGTTTCGAACTATGTATCAATGACGTCACTTTTAATTGTTATGACTGGTAAACACAATGATGCAAATGTGATGCAATTATTTTTTAGAATATGCAGTTTAAACTCATGGTAAAATTAAAGAAAAATAAAAATCCTCAAACTATCTGTTTTTCCTAAGGTCCATTTTTTATTGAAAGTGTACACGGCAGTCACTGGTTCCCAAAAATCACTTCCAGATCAAATTTACTTTCATTTTATTATTTTATACCTGTCAATGTATTGAATTATGTGCATGGGCTTTTAATTTAAGAATTTGCAGTGATTTTTCTACACCCATTTTAGGTCCGAATATCGGCCCTTTCCCCTATCAAAAATTACCGATTTTTTCCCAATTTCATTTGCTTTTTTCCCAAAATAAAACCTTTCTTGTTTTTGTTATATTGAATTTTTTTTTATGTAGGACTTATCTAAAATGGAACACTATTGTTCTCGGTCAATAATAGTGAAGAACAGCTGATTATTTTGTGCATTTACAAGACATAGAAAAACACATCGACCATGTCAAACTAAATGCATCGTATGAAAGTGTAAGATGCATGTGAACCGGCGAAACATAGCTTTATTTGTAAATCAAAGTACTAGTAGTTCTACAATAAGCCTGATTCCAATGTTTCTGTAACACGCAGAAGATGCAACTAATATTGCAGCAATATGATAAGGGTAATTTAAAAAGCTTTAATAACTAGTTAGAAAAAAAGGATTTGTTATAAATCATGCCAGGTTATACATGTGTATCACCTTCAATGGCTATTATGAGTAGGATTTTCTCTTATGTCTACCATTATGGCAAAAAAAGAAGAAGAAAGAATGGAATTATAGGACAGTCTCAATTAATGACAACTTTCAAAGATTAAAAAAAAGTTATAAATGTAGAGCTGTGTCTAATTTGTTATTTTGTAGTAAATATTTTGAATACCAGTGAAAAAGATGTTACATTTACTTATATATTTTATTTTACCTGTCAATTAAGGTTAATTTCAATCTTTAGTAATAATTTTTCCCAATTTGACACAAATGTCGATAATTTTTCCCAATTGTAAAGGCCCAGGCCCCATTTAAAAAGTGTAGAAAAATCACTGATTTGAAAACAAAAATTTAATGCTCCCAAATCATAAGGATCTTATATACTTTCCTCCTAGAAATTGATGTTACCTGTGTTTGGTTGACGTAATATGCGGTATTACAAATTATTTCAGAAAAAAAAATCTAAGTCATCACTGCAAATGATAGAGTCACCAAAAATCAAAGATTTTATCAGTAATTTTGACTAATAACTGTGAATGCTTCCAACAATAGAATTTCTGTTGGTCCTTCAAATTAAAACATTTTATATCATGCTGGTGTTTTTCTTTTTTCTTTCATTTGTATGTGTGTGTGTGTTTTGTGTGTGTGTGTGTGTTTTGTTTGTTTGTTTTTGTTTTTTTATAAGTTGTATATAATCGAGATTTTTTTCCTCCAGGAATATGTTATTAAAATGACAAATAAATAAAATCAATATTTATCGTACGTAAGAATTTATCATACCCCCCCCCTCCACCCTTAAAAAAATCAGTCTTTCAACATACCCAAGCAATGATGATCACATTGTTTAAATAGATCTAGTTTTGACCTAGCTCACTTGCTCAGTTGCCAGTCCTGATCAATACCCCCCCCCCCTCCCTTTCGCAAAAAGATCGAAAAGTAGTCCAGTAATTAAGAAGAGAATATTTCATTTTTATGTACCAAAAATTTATTTTATCAAACAGTATTTTTATTTAGTCGACCAAAGAAGGTGTATTTTTGTCACAATTTTTACCAGTTTCACAGGTGCCACGTGCATTGAAGCATAACTAATCCAGCGATTGTCTACTGGGGTATGAAATTCACGACATATTGATAATCTAGTAAACAAGATCTTTACTGCCACTCTTTAATTAATTTCTCATCTACTACACAGTAGTTAAAAAGTGGGTTTTTTTTTCCTGTAACATGAATATTTTACATATTATAATTAGGTGATCAATTTCAAGTCTACATCGTAACCCCAACCATTAAATTAAAGTTTTCTGATTTTTCCAGATTGTGTCGGTCAGACTTGCACTGTTCGAATATATTGATTTTCTATCGGTTTTTGCAAGTAATGCCAATGAATTTGAGAAAATCTGAAATATACATGTAACATTGTATAATTCGCATATCAGGTAATTTGATGAGCATGTATTGTAATGACATCGTCGACAATGTAAATCTGAAAGCACATTCTTGTTTCTTAAAAAGAAAACGGAGTCGGTAATAGCTAAAGCAATTGAATGTTCTTAAATTGATAAGAATGTTTTTTTAAAAAAAAAATACCTTTTGCACAGAAGAACTTTATTTACAATTTTTATTTTAATGATTTTCCGCCTTTTTTATCACAAATCACGAAAAACAAATGACCAATCGCTTGCGTCCGTTTTTATATCTGAAGGACGAAAATAGGGTATGGGTGACATTTTTTAAGTGTAAAAGTTTGATTTTGTAGAAGAGCTCATAAAATCTTGTCAAGAGTGATATGAAAAAATGAATTTTAACATTTAATCAGCATTTCCGTTCTATAGCTCGCACTTAAGTTTGTGTATCAATTTGCACGCGCTCGCCGTTATTATGACGTTGAATGTCGTAAGGGGACGATTTATGGGTACTCTAGGATAAACATTGACAAATGATATCCATCAAAAACTTTTTCTTATCATGTAAACCTACACTGCAATTCCAAATAGGCCAAATACCCTGGTCCTGGACCTATATCAGTATGTCTTTATATTTGCAAATTACTCGAAACACGTGTGATAAACGAGATAAAACTCACCTGTAGCTGTGCTCAAAGTTTCTAGCAGTAGCTGAGTAGCATTACATTTTGAAGTCAAAAGTGAAACTGAAAGTCAACGGTGCAGGTAGCAATTCAGTGCACCGCATTATAAAATATTGTTAGTGAATATATGACTGTCAGTTGCATGCAAGAATAACATAAATAATACTTTTTATCTATTCTGAACACAATTTAAAAACTCACACAACTTAAACATGGTAAAATAAATTTTATAATATAGAAAAATCTATAAAATAAATGTGTCCTATGCTTATACTAGTAGCAAATTCTGTAGATACCGCTCTATCGGAACACCTATAGATTTTTAAAGATTTAGGAGAATCCGAAAGGAAAAACATGTCGGAACTTCTGGCTTCCCTGGAAACAGGTATCCTTTTTGGGCATTTTACTAAATAATGAAAACTGTACAATTACAGGCCTTTGGTGAAACAGTATGAAAGCCGATTCTTTAAAGTATCGATATGTCTGTGATTTTATGTGTACACCATTATATATCATATTTTTATCGTAACATAAAAATAACTTGTTACACTTGAGACAGTTAGAAGCGTTATATTTTGAATTATTGAGCTTTTATGTTTATATCTTTAGCCTCCCATCGGAACAATGGCTTGAAGGCATGAGTCACTCTTTAAGAATATATCAGTAACAGTAGACTACATCAGAGCAGATTAATTCGCAATCCTTTTGTGTGCTGAAAATGTCAAAGGGGACAAAGGTAAGAATCTTCCTCTTCTTCATGCTGAAATGGTGTGTCAGGTATATAAATTTCAGGTCATACATTTTAAACCTCTTTTGTTTAGGTCCCTGGTTATATGCAGGGGAAAGGAAGCAGAAATCCAAGAGGAATCATTGGGTAAAGTGTATATAATTTAAGGAAAAAAAAGTGAATTCTTTTAATCAGAATATTGATGGTAACATTAATGACATGGCTCAAATGGACTGACATGCAGCTAAAATTATTTCATTTTATCTGTGACTCATGATATTCACTTCCTAATTATCCTAATTAGATTAGAAAAAACCTTCCTATTATCATGTATTCACTGTATCCATGTTTAATTTCACTGTTATTTTGATTTCACAAATATATGTACAGTGCATTATGAGTTACATGTATGAACTACAGTCTATTACATCACAGAATTCCACTGAGCACAGCATATCATTATTTAGAGTCTTAGAGACATATGTCAGATTAATTATTATGGAATTCTTAAAAAGCCCGATGGTTGTACTTGCTATATTTTTCTTCAAGGGACAGGGAGATTCGGTACAAATGTTCCTTACAGAACACAATTCTTGATGTGCTGCGAGGCCGGCCGGGCTGGCAGGAAGTACCAGGGTAAGTTTTTTCTGGCTTTATAGTCTTACATGGAGGTGAAGGAGCATGCTGATGAAGCATGAATCTAGTGTTGAGAGTGTAAATTTGCATGAAAAAAAAAAAGAAATTTAACAATCTATTGTCATTCTGTCCTAACAATTTTAAGATGTAAATACATGTATATAGATAGATTTAATAATAGCTAGATCACTGCACCAATAATTTTACATTAGATTAAGAAAGATGAATGAGAAGAGCTAGTACAGCACAGAAAAGAGATATGCATACAATTCTCATATATTTTTAAGCAGTAATCTAATTTAAGATAAGTTGTCCATTTTTCTCACCTGCTGGTGATGTGTGATGTCTTGTTATATGTTGAGTGACTTTACTACTCTGTGTTGGTTTTTGTGAATTGTCTGGTTTTTGTTTAGAAATAGAATGTATGTTCGTTGTTTGCTTTCATATTTCAGTCAAAATAATGTACAACAAAATGTACAGACTAATGCAAAACAACAGGGGTAAGTCAAACACCTGTATTTAGTATCATTTTGTTCACATCTACAAAGTTGACAGGGGTTAATCATTCTAGCTGTTGATTAAATTTTGTGAAATTAATGGTTATGATGCTCAAATCCTAATATGCAATTGTACTCATATTTACAATAAAAATATTAGAATCTTGGGATAGCTAATGTATTTTTAATAATCTTATGAGTGTTTAAGGCACTTTCTCTTGAGTATAATGTTAATTTATTGTGCCTAATCTGGGCAATGTAATTGGTTTTCTTCAGAGATTATGAACAATAAAATGGACAAATAAATGTGCTTCAATTTATATTCATTGCATTATAATAATACTATTAATGCTGAGATGTACGAATATCAGTCTTACATGTACACTGCCAGAACGAAATACTAAAACTTAAGTGATATTGGCCCTACTTTTTAATATCGAGGAGTGGCTTAACAGTCTGAGGCCACTGTAAGTTAAGAAATTTTTTAAAATTATATGTACCTTGTGTGTTTACCTTGTGCCATTATGTATTGTGGAGCTGCACATATATCAAGTTATAAATGTGATACTGCACAAAAAAAAACACATGTTTAGTAAATTTTGAAACTTCTTTTATGTAAAAATATAAGAGATTTTCTAAGAAAACGTATGATTAAACATACATGTATATACTTGTAATTACATAAATGTTAAACCGATTGTTAACAGAACAACACCCCAGTCTTCAAAATCCAGGTAAGCTCATATATTTAACATGGTGAGAGGTTAAAGGTGAAGGTAATAGGTGGTAGGTTATGTTCTGCCTAAATTTGCTGCATACATATACTTGTACAAATATAATTTTTCATATTTTGGGGGAAAATACATTTACTTTTTACAGAGTGCATCATAGCTCTTCAGTATTTCAGTTAGCTATGGTGGTTTATTTTTTTCTCCTGTAATTTATTTCCAATATCAAGGGGTTATATGCAACAGAAATAGATTTAACAAAATTGTTTTTATTTTTTCAACAATCTAAACTACATTGTTATTCAGTAAACACTTTAAAAATTTTATCCTGGGATAAAAAGCAGTCAGGAATATTTTTCTGTTAGTTAGATACATGAAAGGGTTACGAACATTAGTAATATGTTTTCCAGCTATATGGAAGTTATAGTTAAAACCCATGACAAAAATTTTATGGATTAAGCATCAAATGGTTAATTATTTAATAGCTCTATCTGAAATTTCTGCCTCGATTTCAGTCAACAATCCACTGGCCAGCCATCAACCAATACTGGCAAGGCAGGGTAAGGCAATCCATAAATAGCATGTAAAAATAAGATTTTACTTTGACAAAATTACAGAATTCACACATTAATAATATAAATCCAATATTTACAAACATACAATTGTCTCCAATCTATTTGATCATCCCAGCCCTTGCATAACAAAAAACATTTGGTGCCAAAAAAAAAAAAAGAAAGATCAAAATTAAACCAAATCTGACCCAAGAACCATAGGTCAATGTTTTTCAATATTTGGGTGAATTACAGATCAGGTACAACTTCCACTCAAGGGACAACCTCTGGAAACAAGGGAAGGTAAGGTCATTGCCATAGTAATAGTTGCTATGTTTAGCACTTTTTTTTGGAATTGAGGTGCCTCTTCTACATGAAGACCTGAGTTACTCTTACTCTTTTGTCTCTTATTTACAATAAAAAGAGAAAATGATCGATATACAACTCTTCCAAATAAAATAACAGGTTATGTAAAATTCTAATTCCATATATTGAAAAATGCGAAAGTGTGAGGTATATTAATGCAGGATGAATCTTAAATGCATCCTATTAAAGGCATAAGTTGATATATAATATTACTTGAGAACTACAAGTAAGCTGGAGTTTTCTGCTTAGTGTAAGAATTACCCAACAAGGCCCAGCTACACAAAACACAGTGCCCACAAGAATGGGGTGAGTCTAGTAGATCTACCTCATCTACAACCCTGCCTATTTAACCCTTTACTAAATCAACTGACTTTTTCTTACCTTAAAAGCATGTAAATATTAAATAGGCCTGGGTTCCCTTAGCTAGCATGTGGTATATAAATGTTTATTATTAAATCTCTCTGTCCATCTTTTATTTCTCTGATTCAGCAATATTACAGACTAACCAGGATGTAGGATATACATGTAGTATACATATATTATCCACTGCATGTCCCCTTTTTAAATTAAAATATATATATATATATATACACTAACTTTACAAAGAAGAGAAATTCATATAATTTATGGGACTGTTGTTTCTTCTTCATATTTCCTGCGCATTTCATTGTTTTCTTCATTATTTCAATTAGCTTTTCTTATAAGAATTTCTTAGTGCTGTACTGCTTTTTTTCCACAGTGGCCAAATGTTCAGTATGGTTTTGCATGCCTTTATTTATTTTTTTTTTGAAAATTAAATTTTCCAGATACATGGAAATATGCGCGTTGTGTTTGCATCATACTGTTTGTTCGCATCGCACTGTGTTTTTATAGACACTTTTGATCAATGGTTCTTTTTTCCTCCATTTTCAGCTTTTACTGTTTTATGTTGAATAGCTGTCATGCAAAGAATCTTTTCCCTTCAATACATGTTAATAGAGAGTTAATTTAGTAGTAACCTTTGACCTTTCAGTTTTCAAAGCATTCCTCCTATTACACGGAACAGGTAAGTTCTCAACCTCTCCGCTGATTTTCCTAAAGTTCCTTCATCCTGTCCTGCTATCTTAATTAACATCTCTGGTCCGTGTTTATTAGAAGGGGGGGGGGGGAGTGGCTAGAACCTCTACTTCTGGTAAAGAATACATTTTCACTGAAATTTGGAAGCAGGAAATCGCAAATTATACACAATGACGTACTGAACCTACTGATTGTAGAAAAGACTTATGCACCCTTATGCACACGATGAAATTATTCAATGCCCGGCTTTTCCACTATTAACGCTCGCACTAAATGCAAAATGAACAAAATTACTACATCAATGTTTGCCAGTGTGGTGAGTCGTGAGTATATGTCCCGACCATCGATGAAATTGTGATACTAGTGCTATAGTTTTTAGAAGACAGACCAAATTACTGTACCCTCACTACCGCGCACTACATTTACTTAAGTAAAACCTAGGGTACATTGTATTTGGTTACTATGAATTGAATCACACGGACCATCTCTACACTAATATCACCTTCTACAGCATTTATATCCACACTTTTCCCTTCTTGGCCTTGACTTTCCTGCATATATTGAGAAATTATTCGGAATATCTCAAAATGTACTTTGATATTGTTACAATTTTCAGGATAACATTAGTGAGTTGGAGCTAAGATATATAGAGGTTTATATTTCCAAGATTAATTTATCTTAATCGATATATTGCATGATACGGTGCTGTAAAATGAGAGACAGACTTTTGATCATCTTCACAACGTCAAGGTTTTGTGAAACTGTTCCTCCTCACGAATCATTGACAAAAGTCGCTATTTAAAAGTAAGATTTGTGGACACACATGGCGTAATAGTTAATCATAAACCAACCAATGAGAATATATCATTCAAATCCGTCGTTTTCAAGTGGCTCGAAGCCATAGCACATCTTTTGTGATTTTAAGGAGGAGGATATTCCAAAAATTAATCTCCGATATTTTTTTTTGAGGTAACTTAAGTCACAACTCCTACAATATCGGCATTTTCATTTTAAACACGTCATATTTGTTTACAAAAAGGCTGTTTTCTGATTGGTTCCAGTCCTAGACTGGGAACAAATGAAATGGTAGCTTTCTAGCCCGACTTCTAAATAGCGACTTTTGTCAAGGGTTTGTGTAGAGATGATATCACAAAACCTTGACATTGTGAGGACGACTTTTGATGAAGTAAAATTATGTATGTTATATCTGTCAGAGGTAATGACCTACCCTCACATATGTATGTATGAATGTATGTATGTACAAAATGAGATTAGAAATGCCAACTTGGCGAGGCTTTTGCACAGTTCTTTAGGTATATAGCATAAATTGGAACACTTTTAATTCAAAAAGTGCAGTATGTTTGAATACACATTAAATTTTCTTTCGATTTTACACATTAACAACTTATTATATTAAAATGTATGTGAATGCATAATTTCACGTTTTTAATTCTATTTATTTACCTTTCAGTACAGCTAAGGATGATCTAATAAAATTTTTTAAACATTTTCATTTGTATCATCATTAACACAAATGTGACGTTTTTAACGTGAGCGTGCTCGATTGAATTTCGTACTCTTATTTGAACTAGCTTAGGACATGTGTACTTGTAGTGATGGGGACTGGGATTTTTACTGGTGTGATCGGGAGTGGCTCGCCCAGAATTACGACACCATGTTCCTGTACGAACATCAGAAAATACTACACTTCCGAAACCACTATGAGGTATAATGTGGAAAGTGTGTCAAAAATATGTAATCTACTGTTAATTAGCGTTCAAACGTTGTCGGTAAATAAAGGCTATGTCTGTTTTGTTCATATAGTTAACAAGAAAGAATTTAATGGTTAAGAATCTCAAACGACTGAAGAAACAAACGGAGAGAGAACAAGGCAAAGCTGAGGGACTGAGGTTGGAAAATCGACTTTATAGATATAAATCAAAATTCAAAAGATTTACAAAAAATGTCTCATTTTACACTACAATTGCATGACACAGTCTAATTTGAATTCTCTCATTTGGTAGCTTTGAGTTCTTTCCAACAACCTATGAACTTCCGGTAAGTAAGCAATCAATGATTTAAAAAGAAATCTTTTTTTAATATTTGTGCAATGTCTACTTTACATCAACACCCTCCTTGATACTCTAATTATTTACAATTATGTAGTCTGAATACCACATATTTGTTGAGGAGTTCAAGAAAAATCCTGGAATTATTTGGATTATGAAGCCAGCTGCCAGAGCTCAGGGGCGAGGCATCTTTCTGTTCCGGAGGTTGAAGGACATCACGGACTGGAAAAAGGTACCGATACTCTTTTAGCGTCAGCCATTTAATGGTTTAACATAATTATGGATCAGATTTTACTTTATAACAATGCTTCTACAGGGAGAGTACCAGCCTCTGAGTGACCCAAACCGAGAAGTACCAGAAACGTACGTGGTCCAGCGGTACATAGAGAACCCGTATCTCATTGGTGGCAGGAAATTCGATGTTCGAGTCTACGTTTTAGTAGTTTCAGTAAGTTACATTTTACACAGCCGTTAAAGAGTGAAATCACATACTTTTAAAATAATAAACCTACATACTGCCTGGACACATTTGTGAATGATCACGAAACAAAATAAACTTACGGTATTTGTTAGAACTTCTACATTGTAAACAGCGATTTCTGTATTTTGCAGTACAATCCCCTGAAAGTTTGGTTGTACAGGAGTGGATTTGCTAGATTCTCTAATACAAGATTTTCTCTTGATTCTATTGAAGATACATGTATCCTTGATTTTATTCAGAGCATTTAAGGTGTTTTTATTCAGAGCAATTTATCACCATTAAATGAAGGACAACCATTTCCATGATAAATTAAAAGTCCAGGCTTTTTGACATCATTGCCAACTGCTTCTTCACTAAAAATAAAACTCGTAAATTTACTCACGTTGTCATTGGTCATTTGCAACATTATTTTGTTAAAACACATTCTGACTGTACACACAAGTACTCTGAAGATGACATTAAAAAGATGCTTGAGTTTTTGATGGACAATATATATGTAGTTTTGGAGACTAGGTCTTTCAACAATCTGTCGGAATTCCCATGGGTACCAATTGCGCCCTGTTATTAGCAGACCTATTTTTGTATTTATATGAAGCAGAATTTATTCAAAATCTTATACACGAGAAGAAGAAAATACTTGCGTTGGCCTTCAACTCGACATTAGAAATATCGACGACGTATTGTCAATTAACAATAGTTATTTCCATTCATATGTCGACTCGATATATCCAAGTGAGCTTCAAATAAAATATACTACAGAGTCTGACTCACCTGTTTCATATTTGGATATTTTACTAGAAAAATACGCTAATATTAACCTAACAAACAAGTTTTATGATAAACGTGATGACTTCAACTTTTCAATCTTCAACTTCCCTTACTTATGTAGCAATATACCCTTATCACCTGTATATGAGGTTTACGGCTCTCAGTTGATTCGATACTCAAGAGCATGCTCTACATGTGAACAATTTCTAAAACGAGGCAAACAAGTTGATGGAATAAGAATATCAACAGTCTCGTTTAAAGTCATCATTTCACAAGTTCTATGGTCATACAATGACCTTGTCAGCAAATACAATCTATCATTAAGTCAAATGCTGACTGACGTTGTTCATACTAATTGTTAGGCCATTATTTACACACTGAATTGTCGACGGATTTTTCCGTTTTCCCCAATCATGACAAGGAGCACACGGCGGGTGTGACCGGTTGGCAGGGGATGCTCACTCCTTCATGGCACTTGATCCCATCTCTGATGTTTGCTCTGCTCCTGAATTGTATTGCTTGAATGCACTTTTGAGCTTGAACACTGTTCGTTATCTCCATATGTTTGTCGAATAGTAACCCAAGAGTTGTTATTAAATTCTTTAACGTGATTAAGATGTTCATTTGACCAATGTTGCCGTTCAGAAAAATGCCCCAGATTACGATCCTGACAAGGGATGTAAATGGTCTACCCAGCAATTACGGAAGTACCTCGCTGCCAAACATGGTGTGGAGGCCGTAAGTATAACGTCTTCTTCTGTATTACATTGTATTCATGTAGGAATTGTACGGTACTTATTTTTACTTTATGCCATTTTTTTCTTCTTAATTACAGGTCAAAAAGGCATTTAAAGGGATTGACAACATCATCATTAAATCATTACAAAGTGTTCAAAAAATCATCATCAACGATAAACATTGTTTTGAGATGTATGGTTATGATGTTTTATTTGATTCTGATCTCAAACCGTAAGTATATGTGTGATTTTCATAAGCATCTTTAGTTCCTTCTCAAGCTACCTTTACTTATGTTTCTTGACATTACGTTCTTTTTCTTCTTACTGTTGAAGTAATTGATTTGCATACTCTCTATTATAGGTGGTTAATAGAAATAAATGCCTCACCCTCGCTCACAGCGAGTGGAAAAGAAGATTATGACCTTAAATTTGGACTTTTAAACGACCTTTTAAATGTTCTTGACCTTGAGAACCGACTGACAGGTAAAGAAAAGCGGGTAGGGGGCTGGGACTTATTGTGGGAAGATGGGCCTATTTTAGCTGACGATGGAAACATGGAATGTACTCCTAACGGGACAACAGCTTCCATTCCCAACTCATTCCTAGGTAGGTTAAACCGAAACCTTGACCCATTATCCAACAAAATAAAAAAAAATGCTTGGATAGATATATAGAATTATCTACTACTGTTTTTGGAAGCAATTCTTTCAGAACATTTTGTTTTTCTCCACATTTAGCCCTGCTCTGTTTTATTTAAGGTTGCCATAATGACAGAAAAAGACAGTTAAGGGAATTGTATACGGCTGCTCAGTCCATTAAGAAGTCATGACATGATAAGACATGGATAAAAAGCAGCAAATTATACAATGTACAGAGGAAACTGACCTGCGATTCTTATATTTATGGATAAAATATACGATACTTCAACCCTGTGAAACATTTTGAGTTTCATTTGTTCAGTAAGGCTTGCCTCTGTGTTCCATTTTCCAGCATGACAAAATATTTTCCAAGATTAAAATCTTACAAATAAAAGAAAAAAAGACTTGGAATATTTTTACCATTACTGAAATTAAAAGCAATGAGTCAGTGCATGGTGCCTTCTTGAGAATGCGTGTGTGCAAGAGCTTTTAGGATTGAATTCAAAGGTATTGCCATTAATATTTTGACTGAGACTAGAGCAACAATTTAATGTATAACTATTAGTAATGAAAACTTACCGAGACTCATAAAAAGTTAACGCATTTATTTGATATTTTCAAAAGATGTCAAAATACAAACATGAAGAAGTAAGATAATTTGTACAATAATCATTTTTAAGTTCAAAACCGGGTAATGTAATCATGATCTTGCAGTATATAACTGTATAACATTAAAAGTTTCATGTCATTGAGAAAAAAGTTACACAAATAAGCGCAATATTTAATCTCGGTTTTTTAAAAATACAAAGACGTATTGCACATCAAATATTGCATCTATTATGAATTATGTAACAATGAACGAATATAGCTTTTACAAATATATACAAAATACAGACAATAAAATATCCAGAATCATAAGCAAAAAATATTCCCGTTTGATGGTTGTAGTAATTTAAGCATTCAGAAACACCTTTTAGATGTGTTTCTAAGTCTATAATACCTCAAATTATAATGATCCCTAAGGAGAAGGAAAAGTTTGTGTTTCCTTCTCATTCGCAGAATGTAATTTGATATATCCTCTGGTGTTTATCTCTTGTTTAAAGTCTTGTTGATTCTTTAACACTATCGTCGTCTGTTTCATCTTCAACAAGAACACGAAGCTCATCTCCAGTTTTTTGCTCTTCTTCACCTGACTGCGGAACAAGAGAAGAGATTCCAGGGATGGACAAGGCGCGCTCCCTAAAAGCAGCAGGCATCGGCTCTAACATACCTGCCGTGGAGAAATCCTCTCTAAGCAGGTCATACTCCTCATGGATACTCCCCACCGAGTCCGAGTCCTCGGTCGCCGCTACCTCAGACTCATCAGATTCTTTCAGAGCAAGTTTAGCTTTCTGTTCGAGAATATCTTTCCTGCTGACATCTTTCCGATCGAGGGTCCCTTCAGGAGTTCCCTGATCTACGGTGGGGGTTTTCTGAAGGCTGATGATGCTTGGAGGTCTTGACAGAGACCTGTCGGATTTCGACTTAATGATAATTTTATCACTAGTACTTGTCTGTGATTTTACATTGTCATTTCCGTTTTCTTCGTCTTGAATTCCAAACATGAACTGACGGTGCTTTTCTTGCCACCGCTTCTGTTTCATTTTTTCTGCCCTACGTTTCTTTTCCGTTTCCTGCAATGCAAAGTGGATTTTTCGGAATATTAGAAGTAATGTTTCATCCCTATTATTACAACCCCTAATTAAAAACGGCAAATATTTGCATAGCTCAATAATGTGTATTATATATTACCTCCTCCTTCTGTTTCAAAGCTATTGAAGTGACCCTATTTAAGAGTTCGTCAATTTTGGACTCTGTGGAGTCGGTGTCTATGGAAGTAAGGCATAGAGCTCGGTTCATCGGAAAGAAATCATAATTCTCCAAAGCAACCTACAAAATGTTGCAACTCGATAAATATGAGAAATTTTAGGAAATCTGTTTTTAAATGTTTTAATTTGTTTAATCTACATAAAGAATTGTGTCGGCATTTTTTTTTTTACTCACAAGTTTGTGGACGTAAAGTTCTAACGCTGTGAAGTCACTTGTCTTGACATCTTCAAGATGTATCAAGAAAAATACGTAAGCCCACATGTTGTGTTCATTGCGAACATGGTGGTCAAATCCCTAATTTGAAATAGAAATATTTCTTAATTGATTATAACTTTTTACACAGTCGACATTATTGATTATTTAGTATATATTTGACCGTACCTTCCCCGTGTGTTCAAAATCGTAACTATTTCTGCTGCAAATGAAGCATGTGTCCTTCATGTCGGACTCAGCTCGCCACTGAAAGGAAAGTTTTAATGTGAATTATTAATTAATCAGCCTAATCATTTATTGAATATGCACGGCAACGGATGTAGTGATAGGTACCTTAAGGTCACGTAGCTCCGAGAATGTGTCGACAATGATACCAAAAATAATGTTTAGACCAATGGTGGTAATGAAAATGAAGAAAGACACGTGGTAAAGAACAAGAGGCCAAAACGAGGCAAAAGTATCATTCCTTCCATTTTGCTTGACAGTCTAAAAACAAGGAGATATCAGAAAATCGTTGTTATAATGGATATTTTATTTTCATATCTGAGATTCGAAAATGAAACAATTTGTGTCATCATTAAAGCAAGAAAGATAATAGAACACTTACATCGAACATATCTCCAATAAGACCATAACGAATGACTGTCACGGTGCATTGCCATAAAGTAGAACAGTACAGAAACTCTCCAGGAGAGAAGAATGCACGAAGTAACGAAAAACCAACAAGTGCATAAATATATATCACAATAAGTCCAAGAATAGCCACCCACAGTAATGAAATACCTGGAAAAGAAGTAGACAGCAAACGTTAGCCTAAATATAGCCCTAAATTGGAATCGGATAAAGGCTTTATAAGAGGACATTACCATTGAGAGTGACGGCTTTTATGACTCCACTGAGAAGCTGATTGTTGTTGACAATGTTCAAGAGATGGAATGCGAAAAAATATCCGTGAAAAAATGTTCCAGCGGCCGACATTGCTAGGAATAACTGAAAAAGGAAAGTAAAAATGAATCATAGAAAAGGGAAACCGATAGGAGAATATTATACGACTGGTTTCTAAACAGAAATGATAAATTACCATATAATAAAACGTGGTGAAGCTAAAGAATTTAACATCTAGTTTGGAGATTTCATCCGCCTTTTTCTCTTGAAGATCTCCATTGTTTTTCTTCCCTCCACCACAAAGTGACCTGTGAAGCAAGAAAAGACTGGTGATCAAGGCAGATGTACAAACAAAAAAGTCTACGAATAGAATGAAGTAGTTTAATTTGTTGTTTTAGTGAAATCGTCAATACCTGAACGGAGCTTTAATCTCTTCTTTGGTAGGAAGTCGAGGGTGGTTGGACAGAAAGTAACTGATGAGGACAAACAAAGACAGAAGATTGTGTGTACCTCCTAATGCATACATGGTCAGTATGTAATGGTCAAGAGGGATGTATGCAATGTTAGGAGTTGGACTGAAATAATCAAATTAAATCATTTGATTGCATTGTGGTATAGAAAGTTTTCTTGCTAAGATAAATCTATTACAACAAAATATACAACATTGTAAGAAATGAACTTACTCTTGGAGCAGCGCCCAGTTTAATGTCTGGTTTGTTGTACCGTTGAAGAACTTCCCATAGTCCTCAAGTGAAGCTTTTGCATTCCAAGTAACCAACATGAGCAGATTGATAGCGAGGCTCAGTATGGTCGCTCCATGGTTCCAAATCAACCTATAATAATAAAGAAATTATCTAAGTGTATCGTTATAAATCACTTACTATCTTTTTTTGTTCTGCAACAAAAATGTCTTTCAATAATATTTATCCTTTAGAATGAAAATAAGTAAGAATTTATTGAGAGTTGAATAAGAATAGACTTTTATTTTACGAAAAAATCACTAAGACGATTCTTTACCATCCTTTTGTGAACATCATGGCTATTGGATTGCAAAGAATTTTTCTCTGGTAGGAAATATCCTGCATAATGTCTCGTGTCCATTTCATCAGATCTCGGATTTTGTTGCTTGGTGACGTACGATCCACGTTCCATTTCAAATTTTCTTTCACTTCTTCTCGAAGAAAATTCTACAGAGAGAAGCAATATTTTTTCCCTACAGAACAATTTGCAGGCAAAAGAAAATCAATTCAATTAATCAATTTGGGTAGTCTTACCTTATTTTTCACACGGAAATTTACTTTCTGCAAAACGTCATCCTTGATAATTTCAATTGAAAGCGAATTCTTTCTGTAGAATTCATAGGCCTTTGCTTGGTCTGGGGTTATCTGCAGAGCTGCAACAACAAGAAAAATTAGGATATTTGCTTCAGAGCAATGGATGAAAGTTAAATGGCTCTAGATAGTCAGGACTTACTTGCAGCCATCAGAGGGTCGACGTCTTGCATTCTAGCAAGAATAAGGAAGAATGTGAACCCGACTTCCATCAATGTTTCCCTCAGCTGGTTTTTCTGAGAACCCTGTCATAAAATTATAACATGTCTGAATGTAAAAAGTTTATATGTACATCATATTAGTAATGGAATTATATAGATCTAAAAAAATTATACCACGAATCCTTGTATTATACTGCCTCCCACAACAGCCAATGAACGAGCAGATTTCAGAACACTCCCGTCTTCGGTTGGAGACAGATCCTCAAGAGAAGGTTTCTCCGACTGGTGGGCCTCGTAACACAACGTCATACAGCGAAATATTGCCTCCTTATCAAGTGTATCTTTCACCTCCTACAGCATAAATGATAATTAAATTTTTAACAATAGATCCCAGTAAAGGAATTGGCCTGATGTTACAAGTTATATAAAATTAGTTGAATTTCATTGTGATTACCTTAGCAACCTGTGATTTTCCTGGTCCGTTCTCTTCTATTAAGGAGATGATCACTGAGGCTATCGCATGTCGTAGCTCGAGGATCTAAATCAGACGAGAATTTCACAAACAATTAGTTTAGTTCAAGCAGAAAAGAATAACATGTAAAATGGTGGAGAATCTGTCTCACCTTCTCTGGTGAACAATCTGCAATGTCTCCAGCTCTCAGTATAAAATTGATGTAGTCTACAATTTTTCTGTCATATACCACAACCCTGTTTTCCTGATTTCCCTAGAAAACAAAACACTTGTTTTCTTTATCAGTTCTAAACCTCGTAAATGCTTTAAAAGAAAAGGTTATGATGTTAATAGTAGTGTAGTACTATTAAAGGTAGGATATATGTTTTCTAACCGAACAGAATTCATTCAGGGTGTTGAAAAGTTGAATGATGAGATTAATTGTCTTCTTGTTGATGGTTGTGTATACAACATTGAGGAATTGGGCTGTTTCTCCAACGA